CAACACAAGAAATGGCTATTGGACATTCTTATTCCCTCAAATTTAGGGGCACTGATTTGGTATTTACTTTTTATCTCCTGTTGCAATGTAAGAGGTTTCCTTTAAAAAAAAAAAATACTTAAATCAAGCAAAACCCATCATGTTTTTTCTGCATACTTTTCAGAAGACAGAGGGGAAAACCTGTGGGCCAGGTATACATTGCATAAAATTTAAACAAGGTGTGGAAATGAAGTTAAATTTTTCACCAAACTACACCTGCTCAAGAGACAGATTCTATCATTTCCAGCTTGCCTTGAATTAAATCATCTTCCCCATACTCATAGGCTACAGCACAGAGCTATGACATTCAGAAAATATTTGCAAGAATTCTCTTCTGGAGATCAGAGAGTCACTGAGTTCAGCACAAAATGGTGAGGTGGTATAAGTTAGACAAGTGCATTTTATCTACCTTCTTATGCTGATACACAGAAATATATACAAGGTAGAAGGAGAACTTAGAAGGTACAAACCAAATTTATGCCTTTCAAATATGCACCAGACTGTAGCATCATCCCTTGCTTAACACAACTAAACTGGGTATTCAGGCTTTTTAATCATTCTGTATACTGAACTTACTCAACTACCAAATGCTCTGTATTTGTTTTTGTTCTTTTTCTTTACTGGACTACTTCAATTTGCTGACGCGTTTCTAGCAGTGAGGTGCCTGCAGTGGCATAGTATACTTAGAACAGGAATATTAAGCTATGTAGAGGACTTGCTGGCCATGAGCTTCCTGAACTGACACTGAACAACCCACATTAAACCAAGCTGTAGTTGAGAATAGCTGTTTCCCTGCCTCATTTGCATAGTTCACATTATCTTGCAGCACTGAACACTGGTTAGAAGATTTCAAAAGTTGCAGGATAAGCCTTAGGAAGTGATGCATCCGAATTCTAGCATGAGCAGAATATGATTTTAAAAATGCCCTCACGTTTAAGATATTCAACTCACTATTTCTAAATACTACTTGATGTAGTACTGTACATGCTACCCTGAGCATATTTCCACTCTTTCTCATTTCATGCAGGGAGGTCACGCTAGATGCATTTTAATGAAGCAGGTCCAATTAGTTAGAGTCAGAAACAGATCCTGACTCTTCCCATCTTTGACATTATCCTCTCAGACCCAACCTCAATGCTCAAAACAAGATGCGACAGCAGTAGCAGCAAAGGTCATGTGTTTGCAAGTATAACCCATTACAAATGCTTTGGATACTTAATGCTCTGAGCAGTGTAAACTTAAAACCAGTAGCTACTAGGCTAAGATGGTCATCTGATCTGCCAGCACTACCTGCCTTGTTGATTTGGGTTGCAAATTTTGTCTGGGGCCGAGCTGTCAATTGCTGACTGCCTCAAGCTCCTTACAGCTTTAATATTTGCACTTTTGCAAGTAGAAATGTAGTATAGGTATGCTTTTACCTGTGCTAATTTTGGTGGTGAATCTGGCAGGTAGGATGCTTGTGTCAGGAAGAGTGCTGTCAAAAGGATGCAAAAAGCCTCTCTTTCTCATATGTTTATCAATACACTTATTGCTGATCTATAACATCCTTTGCATTTAGGGAGTAGGCCTTTCTCAAGCAGAGACTTCCAGCTAATATTTGAAGGTATAGGCAACAGAGGAGCCAAAACAAACTGACAATCTCACTTCCATTTATAACTTTACTTTTCTCATTTCAGTTCAGGTCCTGGAGGTCATCATCATTATTACTACTTGAGTCCACTCAGTCCCCAAGCAAAGGCTAACCCGTGTATATTTTAAGAGATGGTCCTTGACAAGATGAGGTTACAATCATAAGACATACCAAGTATGGGAGGCAGAAAGAGACACTACTCCCACTTTACACATGAGCAACTATGGCAGAAAGATGTTAAGTGATTTGTTCCTGGATAAGCAGCTGGGATATTAAGGCAAGTGCTTTCCCCTCAATGCTACCTTTACAAAAAAAGGTACACACGGTATTCCTAAAACTGTGCACTCAGCGCTTCACAGCTAATTTGGAGTGTCACCAATCTACATAACAAGCTTAATCACAAGAAATTCTCATGGATTATCCATGGGCTCCCACTCAGAAAAGAAAAAAAAAAAAGGGAAAAAAAAAAAAGAATGCAGCTAATTGAACTTTATTCTTTGAGTTTTCAAATGATGACTCTCAAGGAGGAAAAAAAAAAAAACAAAGTGGTTTTCTCTTACAAGATTTCAGTGTCAAGCTGTGTGCTAAGCCACAGTGATATACTAAAATAAACAAAACTCTTTCTTTCACAGTCCAGAGAAATTAACACAACCAAAAATATTTTTGGAAGACTTTTCTGAGCCGTAAGATTTCCATGCAGCTAGTCTTAGTCTCCAAGTGGTGGTAGGTCCATTAGAACAACGCTACATTGCAATCAGATTCCAGGGACAGGCTGTTAGAAGCATTTCGTTAGTGATAGCTGCAGCCCGAGGAGTCCCCTTCTGTCTTGGCCTTTGTCTCTTGCATTTGCGTAAAGCCCTACTGGGGCCCGCTTCAGATTCCTATCTGACAGTCAGTCGGTAATGTAAGAATGAACATACAGCAGACTAATTGGAAACACAGAGCAAATGTTACAGGTTAGCTAGCTGTGGGACTTTTGCCTTTTTTTTTTTTCCCCTCCTTTTTTTCACCCCCTCTTTTTTTTTTTTTTAATGATTTCCCTCCCCCCCATCACTCATTTGCTCCCTAGAGATCACCAATGGCAGCTGCAGGGGTTGGTAGGAGGAGGGCAGAATAAGACTTCCAGAGGCCATTAAACAACTGGAATTATCAGGTAACTTGATGCCCTTGTCTAGGTTTTAATCAGATTGTGCAACTACCCCTTGTAAGCTGAAATGGTCTCTGCAACATCAAGCGTTGCAATCTGTGGCTAACTGCACAGAAGTCCACATCAGTAGATTTCTCCTCATCTCCTACTCCTGCAAAATAAACACCATGCAGAAAGAACCGCTTAGGAATCCTCTAATTCACAAAGAAGTAGGAAAGCACAGAAATGTTCCCCTTGATTCTGTCTAAGACTCCCCTCCACAGCACATAAGACACAAAGTTTTAACAAGTTAAATCTAAAATTAGACACATTTATCTCATTACGTGGCTGTTTCCTAACATTCGTCCTGCACATAAAGCTGTGAGGGTCAGTCTGGGCTATTTTCCCAAGCCTTGACCAAAACTTGGATTCTCTCACGTTTGGACACTCTTTTCCTTGCTCAGCATACCATGCCACAGCCTCTCCTCTTCTCCTCTATCTGTCCCAGTCTCTTTCCTTGTGAGCCACAAATAAACTATCCCTAGACTCCCTTCCCTGTAAGCCAAAACCGAACCACTCCTAGACTCCCTTCCCATCTTCTTTCTACAAGCCTCGTCCACCATTCTGCACCTCAGCAATCAGCTGTACCTTTTTTTCCCAAAAAAAATCCCTTGGGCCTTTACTTTGCAGACCTCAAGATCCCTAGATGCTGCTACCTCCAGGTTTCAGGAGCCCCAGCAGCACACATATGCCTCGCATGTATGAATTTTGAGTTGGACAGCAATCACTGATAGGCAAAGCAAATGACACAATACAGCAGCTGTAAGAAGAGTACCTATAGAGGAAGCCCTTGCAATTGGAGGCACAGACACTCTGAAAGGCAAAATAATGCTGAAGCAAGCTAAGGAGAAGTGCCCTCTGGCTTCACCACCACAGCTGCTTTGTGGCCGCCTTTTCCTACTTTTAGTCTATGGTCCCGGTTAATGTTCAAATTAGACAAATAGAGATTACCATGAGAACTAAGCCAAGTAACACAGTGTTCAATAACTGGGGAACTCTTATGGCAGGGGACGCATTACACAAGAATTTCCAAGAGCTGCAGAAATGGGAGAGGGGAAAACAGAGGCACAAAAGGGAACGCTGTGAAGGGGAGGCATTGGGCAGGTTGTGGAAGGGCTGCAGGGAGCAATATGCTCCGGTAGGAAGCCCCACATTATTCATGTGTTTTAGTTCTCAAGAGCAACCAGAACTTTGGATCTTATTTGAAAAGTTAAAATTTCATGCATTATCTCTTGCTGGCCTCTGTAGTGCATTAAGCTCTTTTACAATTCCTTGAAAATTTTAACAGCTCTTTAGGATCCCTCAAAACACTCTAACAATCTTTGGGCACAGGAGTACACTTAACCCCATACAAAGTGGCCTATATAATTCAACCAAAACTTACAAATACTGAGACTAAAAGAATACTAATTGGAAATGGGATACGTTATCTACTAGGTATTACAAGTTAAAGTTCCCCCTTTCAACATGAATACTTTACAAGAAATACAGAAACACAATAAAGTTGGTAATGATGACAAATAAATCCAGGGGTCCATCATGTTGCGGAGGAAAGAGCAAAAAATTTTTTTTTTTTTTTTTTTTTTTTTTTAAAGTAAATGCCCCTTCATAGTCCACATTTCCCTATAATGTGTTTAAGCAAGTTTGCAATCCTCACTTCAAAGATGATATAATTTTCCCAAGCCTCTCCCTCAAGAGGTGTGTGGTTTGTGTTATAGTTTACTTAAAAGCAGAGACTTGGAATCAAACCCTGGCAAATACAGTTACACGCTTTTGGAAATTTAATGCTGGTTTTTGTTGGTTTGGGGTTTTTATTTTTGTCAACTGTTGCAACAGTTTAAAAAGCATGTCACAACTTATAGTGCCACCTAGTTTCTAACCAAAAGGTTACTACCAGGTAGTAGAGCTCAATCTGCTTTCACACAGTGTCCTTTAACGTTTCAAGGAACCAAAAGGGGAGGAAAGGTTCAGTGTGCTCACACTCACCCTTTTGTTGTTCTCTTCTTCTTGTGCCTTCCTAAATTCGTGCTCTAGGGCCTAGTTTCTAACCAAAAGGTTACTACCAGGTAGTAGAGCTCAATCTGCTTTCACACAGTGTCCTTTAACGTTTCAAGGAACCAAAAGGTTCAATGTGCTCACACTCACCCTTTTGTTGTTCTCTTCTTCTTGTGCCTTCCTAAATTCGTGCTCTAGGGAGCAATCGATGTCGTTGAAGAGGCCCACTTCCTCACAGTTCTTCAGAAAGCGTGTTGGTGTAGGAGTCTGATCTGAGAACATGACAAGAAATGATCATTGGTATTTAATATTAAAAGGAGAGGGAGACAATTAAATAGTCTTCGAGGAAAAGAGAGGTTCTAGCTAACCACTCCATGCCTTCCCACCCCTACCACACCATCATTAAAAACAAACCACACAGCACTGAATTTTGACACTTGCCAACGGTGTCCGAAAATGGGCAGCAGTCATCATTCAACTAGAAAGACAACAGGCCAGGTTTTCACAGGGCATGTAACACAAGTGCGTATCCTTAACGCGTGCAAATGGTCATTATAACTCTCTATAAACCTCCAATAATAGGTGCACGCAAAACAATGCACAGTGCATATGATAATGCACATTTACACCATGGCACACAGGTAACTGCTGCAGATACGCACTAGTTAACGCCTTGAAGTGCTTGAAAACCACCTCAAACATGCACATACTTTGCAACATGCATGAAGTTAGCCACGGCAAGAAGTTCTGCTTCTAACAGAATTTTTGAAGGAGGAGCGAAATGACATTAAGCTGTGAAATGTTAAACTCTGATCACAAAGAAGTGTCCTTATGTGTTTTATACATGTGTTGATAATACATATAAACTACAGGATTTGGAGTCAAAAGATTTTTAACGCATGCCTTCATCTCTTGGAATTTTTTGCCCTCCCAAAAATAATTTGGGGAAGGACAGGATTCTCTTTAATGCCACAGGCAGGAGGGACTCAAGAAGGTACAAGGTTTTCAGCCTTCTTTTCAAAAACCTGCAAGACAGACGAGCTCAATTGCTCTGTGGACTCAGTTGTTTCAGAGATGACCTTGCCTAGTCTTTCTTTAGGAAGTGAAAAATCAAGCCCAAACTTGGGAACCAAGGACTCCTCAGAAGTCAGCTCTGAGGCAGCTCCATTCATTCCATCCATAAGTACTCCACCTCAGCTTCCCCATCCCCCCAAAATTACAATACAGAACTGTATTAGAAAAAGCAGGGGAGAATCCATATGGTCCTATCAGCTTTACACACATATTTTTCTTTTGTTTTAAAAAAAGTCCTCTCTTACACGTTAGTTTCTTCTTCCCAAGCCCCCATTCCAGCTCAAGCTGCTTTGTAGTAGAAAGATTGGACTCACTCTCTTCAGAAATCATCTTCTGCAGAGTCATTGAGAACTGTCCGATTGCTTGAAATTCATTCTTTAAAGAATGAAAACTCTGTCATACTAATCCCAGTTGCCCATATTGTGCCAATTCTGACCTCAGAAAAAAGCTTCCCGTTTCAGTGAGTTCTGGAAGAAAAATTTGGTTTCTTGCACCTAGCTAAGCTGGGTTAAGTTCTAATATTCCCCCCTTACAGGGAACAGTTACCAGTCGCAATGAACTTCACATGACCAGCATAGAAACACACAGCCACCCCTAAACAAAAGGCAGCATAGAAGGAATGCATACAAAAGCAAACGCAGTTTCCACTTGGAAACTAAGGGGGAGGATCAGCCTCTTCCATTATAAAACCGAGGCCAATTTCCACCTGTATCGGGTGTGGTCCTACAGGCTTTACCTTCTCAAGTAATTTAAGGGCAAACACACTCACTTGCATTTATATTTCTGAGGGAACATATTGATGTAACATAAAAAGCAAGTCCTTAATGTTAAAATGCTGCTTTATTTCTTTTGGCTTGAGCATCATACTTGTGAGCTTAAAGGAAACAAAACTCAAGTGTTTGGGAATGCATACATATTTATCTATTAGTTTTCACAGCTAACTACCGTATTACCAGAGTCAGAAACAGAAGACTTTCCAAGACTTTGCAAGAACTCAGCACAAGGAGCCGAGTCAACGAGGTGCTGACATCGATGGCAGCTGAGAACACTCAGCACTTTACAGGTCCATATCCTAAATAAGTAGTGCCAAACTAACCTCCAGGGTAACCTCACTGAACTCAGTAGATTTACACCAGAGTTGTCTTTGGCCCTTAGACTGGAATTTGTACCGGAAATGAAGTGCACTAAAAAGCAGGAGAAATAGATTTTATTTCCAAAAAGGATTAAATATTACTTTAGTGAACAACACAATTGCTTTGCAGAAAAACAAAGATAACCGTTGCCAAGCCTTCCTGGACATAAAGAGCATGTTAGTATTTGAATGTGAGGCAAATACAGGAAATGTCTTCTTTTCAGAAGTGGTATATCCATACCAAACGAGCAAGGTATCAATTTCATGACCAAGATGAGAAACTAGGGTTTCATAAAGAAGTTGATGGCACCACTTTCACTAAAATCAAAAATCCTTGTTTTTTTCAGAGTTGCTTGAGCCCAGAATTTGGGGGGTAGGGCAGAAGAGAATACACTAACTTAGATAAGGTCTTGTTATTTTTCATCAAGGTACACAGCTGATCCAGAAATCAGCCATTACTACAACAGGCTACATTAGGTCAGAGGCAACTTAATGGGTAACAAGGTGGTGATCAGGTGCTGAAGTTCCTGATCTGTTCAGCATCTATTCCATGAATGTTAGACAGACCAAAAAAAAAAAAGTTCTCTCAGTGAAGTAAATCCATTTTAACAGTGAAAACAAGCAACCCAGAGCAAGAATGTGACTTCAAATGCACAAAGGCTTCATCGGCTTTTCTCTGCACATGCTGAAAGTGTGTCTTCTGCACCACAAGCAGTCTAAGATAATCACGTGTTGTGTTGCCTACAGTTGATCTTTCCAATTAACTGCTTTATTATCTTAAGCATCAAAGCTGATAGATTAATGACACTATTTACACCACCTACATATTGACATGGTGATCTTAAATTACCACCTCAGTCCCCCTATACTGTTACTGCAGTTTCTACAATCCAGAAATTGGACTGGCAAGGATTCAGAACAAGGTTTTGTTAAAACACACAGCCCCCCTCTCCTCCCAGTCAGGGAGGGTGGGGGGAACAGGGAACACCACCAACCACCAGTTCAGCCAGATGTAAACCAAGAGCTGCCTTTCTACCTTTTAATACTTCATCCTTCAACATTCATAGAAACCAGAAGTCCACAAAACCACCGTGTTTGTATGAGAGCAGAACTGATAAAGATCCAAACTTTAAAACGTTGAGACTTTACATGGTACAGTAGTTACATTGCACAGGCACTGCACCCACTGGTTTCAGCACTTCAGGACTACCAAGTCCAGTGGGCTTTCTTTGCTCCTGAGGCAACCAACTATTTTGCCCCTGCAAAACACCATTTAGTTCTCCCTCAGGAGGTGGGCAAACTAGTAGAATACATTAGTCTCAACACCACAGTAACCCTTTTACCTAAATTAGGCAAGCCCTTGTGTTTTAATTGGGAACGGTATCACAAAGGAGACCCTAGCATGAGTTACACATTCAGGTCTCCCAGAATTAATAAAATATTCCTAATTCTCAGCACTTAAAAATGCATTAATAGTTCCAACAGCTTGTGCCTGACCTCACTGTTCCCTGTTGGTACAAACAAACCTTTTGTTGCTATCACCAGCGCCCACAACTATTGCAGGCTCACTGAGAACAGGGCTCCGATTTGTTGTACTTCAGCAACTGGATATGCCAGACCCATCTGGACCAAAACTCAGACAGAGCTATTACGACTCTCAGCATTCCTGCTGAGGACACGCGTTACTGTAGGAAGCTGTCAGCATGCATGCTGTTAGCCACACAACCCAGGACTTCAATGGCCCAAGCTGCATTTTGAACTGGGCAGCTTGGGATACACATCTGTCTGGGTTAACCCTAGGTTAACCCTAGGCTATTATACTGACCAGCCACCCCAACCCAGTCCCATTGTTCAGCATGTAAAATCTTTCCGTCCCCAACTGCTACCAGAACTAGTTTACTATGCTTTGAGGCATCTACCTCTAGCCAGCTGTCACTTCACAGGTGAACCCGTGTCATCTGACAATTACTTAGGAAGTTATTTCTCTCTCTCCTTCACCACCAGGTTGAACACAGAACCTGTCAAGCTTCAAACCAGGCAATAAATATTTCATTCGGCCTATTACTCAGGTGAATAATCAGCCTCTCTGATGACACAGTCATGGCCAGAAAGGCTGCAAGAAACATTAAGTTTAAATAAACCTCAAAAATGTAAGTGGACAACGTAAAAGCCTCAGAGCAAGATCAAATAGTCTCACCTGTGCAGATCCCAAGTCAACCTACTGTATCTTACAGGAGAGGATGTCAGAAGCACTCAGCAATCAGATTCTGACCAGAACCTGATATACTGAATATAGTTTTGCTGCTGACCATTTTGAAAACCTGTCCTCAGTGTCTGAAGTGATGCCTGATTCTCCAGACTAATTGAAAAACATATGCATAAGACAATGGGAAATTTTAATTCTTCAGTAAAGAGATCCCATTATATACTCATTATGTTTGGCTATGCAAATTTTGTTGGTGGTGGGGTTTTTTTTTTTCCTTTTAGTTACTGAAACAATAGTCTCAGAAAGGACACTCAGTCTCAGTATATTGCTTTCACAACAACAGTCCAGGAAATGCCACATTAGCTTGCTATATAGAGCGTTTATTTGAATGCATTTTGTAAAACTACCTTGGGTGCTACAGTTTCATCCCTCAAAGCATGAATAAAAACTTTAAAGCGTGATACCAGTTAAGAAAAAACTGGAGAACCAAAGGACAGTTACGTGAAGCTTTCATTTTGGGGGTGGGGAGGTGGGACTGGAGAACCAAAGGACAGTTACATGAAACAAGCTTTCATTTTGGGGGTGGGGAGGTGGGAATCAGATTCAGTAAGAGATATCTAACAGCACAGCTCCAAAGTGTGTAACTTGATTCTTCATCTTTAAAAAAAAAAATGTTTAGTCTGATGTGCAGTAATAACCGGCATTTGGCTTGTTCAGCTGTGGGCTCTGTTGAAGTTATATACTTACCCATGTTATACTTTCACACAATGATAACAAAGTCAGAGTAATAGGGCTAGCACTGAAATTTGAAGGGCTGCCCATCAAGCAGCCACAAGGAAAGAGGAATTCAAGAAGGTTTCTTCATTGATTTGGCAGGTTACTTCCCAAGTGCACCAAGAAGCTCAAGGTCACAACAACTCAAGCAGGTGATAGAAGAGAAGAGGAGGAAGAGGTGCACCCAGTCGTACCTGGTGGAACTGCCCTCACCCAGGGGCTCACAGACGAGGGCTCCCAAGGACTTTACTGCTTAATGATTTACTGTTTAAAGCACTGGTTGGACTTTCTGTGGGGGTACACATACTGGGTACAACACATCTTTAATCTCTTCTGGTCACAAAGAACCTGACTAGTTGCATTTTAGAAGACTTTTTTCACTTAATTATTTGCATTATATTGTCCCTGCAAGGGACACAGAAGCAAACAAGAAATCAAACAAAAGTATTTTTCCTTATATCCTATCATTTTGCACTCCACAAAATCCATGCCTAGATAAATCTCCCTGTGTAAACCACAAGGAGAAAAAAATTAAGCCAGCCAAGGATGCTATAAGTTACCTCACTGACATAGGCATTACCTGGGAAAAATAATACATTTGCACATACCCTTTTTCATCTAGAGGAAACTGTTTCTATCTCCACAGCGGGCTTTACCCACCAAAAAGCTAGAGGATTGGATTTCAGTAAATAGAATCAGGAAGAAACAAGGTTTCTATATAGATAATACTGGCCTCTCCTGCATCTGCTAGCAGCACTTTTCAAAGGACTTCCCCCCCCCCCCCCCCCCCCCCCACATGGAGCACCCTCCCCCCACAATGGTAAGGTGTCACTCCTCTTCCCTTCCAATTTGACACTACAGGAATCTCAGTGTCCCCAACTCAGAAAGTTCAGTTCCACACCGCTTTTAGTACCTACCTGGAGAGAACAATCTGTCCCATGGACATTAATATTTCAGTGTTAAAACAACAAAAGCTTTGACACACAACAGAGTTTCAAAGCAATGCAATGTTTAGTTAGCACAACAGCAGAGATGACATCTACTTCAGTCAACCTAACTACAAAGTTTCCTGCAATGATGACTAGCATGCAAAACTTACACAAGATATTCTGTGTTATCCCAAACAGCTCTTTTTTGGCTAAGAAAGATGGAAATGGAAACCGTCAATGACTGTCTATCCATACTCACAACAAGGCTTTCCAACAAACAAAAATAAAATGCATACACAAAAAGGAACAAATAACATTACAGTCTTTTTTCTGTCCTTTTAAATGAATGTCAAATTATCCAACAAAAGGAGCGGTTGCATTTTCATGCAATGCCTTTAGCGAACTTCCCTTCCATTTATGCAGAGAACATAAAGCTATTTAGTATATGTCTGTACCTGGAGTTTCTGAATTAGTTCAGGAGTCACTGGATTTAATAAGACTTGTCCTTCTTCAGCCAGCATCAAAAAATTTAAGCAAATATAGTGAAGCTAGTTGATAACCAGGAAGCTCTTGGCTAGACATACCTGATAAACCAGCATAGCACCAATAATTTCAATCAGGTCACAGAACCTTGTTTATTAAACACTGACCCCACCTAAACAACAACATATAACATAACTTTACCTCTCACTTTCAAATTGGTATTTCAGAACTCAGCACAGATTTCACACAAGAAAGAAGTTCCTACTTCCCAAGTCATATTTTGCTTAGTTTCTAAGATGTTGTATTGGTACAAGACCAACAGCCCCTCAGTTTTAGTACCTACTTCCAATAATAGTTTATAGAAGACATTCTTAGCGTGTGTTAAGTATTACTGATATTATACTGACCCCCAGACTGGTTATTAGCTATCTCTGGAAACAAAGTAGATAATTCTAATGGCTACCTGAAAGCATACAGCCCATTATTTTGCGTGACTAATTACTAATAATGAATGGATTCAAATACAACACATTAAAAGGTAGTATACAACATACTGGAAAAAAGGAGAAAGTCTGACTTCTAGGCACCTTAATAAAAAGAGGGGAAAAAAACCCACCACACACTAACACTGCACCTGGCTTATTACAGGGCAATTGCTGCTGCAATTCTTTGAACCTACTGATGACAGAAACAATTTTTTCCAAAAAAAAAAAAAAGTCAAATAAGCAAAAATGCAAAAAACAAGAAGGAAGACATGAAGACAAATGTCTAAAAGAAAAGTCTGTCTCTTTTCCCCATATATCATTAATTTTTCATTATGAAATCTAAGAATAAAACATCTTAAACTTTAAGGTATTTAGATTTCCCCAGGGTTTAGGTGGGTAATGAAACAACTATTTTTCAATGTCTCCCTGCAGAGAGTAGATGATCTATGATGCTTCCAAACTAAGGATTGCAAAATGCCAAACAAATCCACCAGACAAACACAAAAAGAGAAGTCATACACAGCAGAACCAGGTTGCCAGACCATTACGGTCAGGCACGTTTGCTACAGTCTTTGAGAACACGTGCAGCTTTTTACTCTTTCATTACTACAGAGGATCATCATCCACAAAGCACAAAGAATACATCCCTCAGAAGCAACCTTGGAGCCTTTCTGGCCACAATATTTTGCATTTCTATGTACTTAGTTGGCTAACCAGAGGTCTAGGGGCCCCACTACTGGTGGTAGTGGTGGAAGCCAGTCAGAACACTTTGCCTAGGAAGGCAACCCACTGGAAGGAGCAGGACAGGTATCTCATAGAAGTTACCAAACATAAATGGAGCTGCTCTACTCAGGGGACTCCTGATGACAGAATATACTCCTTAGAAACTGCCCTTGAGCAAAAGTCTTGCCAAACAAAGTTCTAACAAAAGCCAGCACTTTCACAGGGTGAATATGCCCACAGTACAGATGTCTTTGAGCAGTTTCACTGCCAGAGGACACAGCCAAGTGCAAAAGCAGCATTTTCTCACTCGTGCTTGCAAACACAGGATTCTGCGGGCATAGCTGGCATGCAGGCAACTTACAAGCCCTACTCCTCCACGTGCTGTGTACTGTTCCTTTCTAAACTTAGTCCACTATGGCATTTTCAAGTGTAAGAGGAAAATAAATTCTATTTGGGACAAGGTCTGTCTGATTTCTCGCTGGTGCCTAAAGTGTGTTGTGTCGTGTGTGTGTCCCCCCCCCAAAAAGGAAGCCTAAATTGCAAGCAATTGCTACCCAATTATGATTTTCATAAAAATGGAAATGGTTTATCCATAGAAGAGGTAGTCTGCTGGAGACCCTTTAATCATGATATATTTGCACCTAAAATGGCACAATTTACCTTGAAGAAGCCCATTTCAAAAGATAAATATCAAACACTGGTTAACATCCACACACACATTTGCATCATAGGTTTTTTTCTACAATTACTTTAAAACCTGAAAAATCCTAGTGATATTATTCTTAATAATCCATTACTATAGCCCAAGGAATATACAATAGGAAAGGGAATAGGAGAGGAGAGAAGTGGTAAGATTAAGGCTAGCTTGACCTTACCCAGCACTCACTGAATGCCAGCAAGGCACCGATGTGTGGTTACTCAGACAAGAGTATGAAAAAACTACATAAGAAACTAAAGGATGTAACTGCACATAATACGAAATAACCTCTGTGTATGACAGGGGAAGTGTAGAGACAGATGGTTACCTTTAGGGGAAAAAAGAGTACTGGATATTACCCTCTGGTTTACCTTTCTGGTTATGGGTATTTACAGTGGGCAGGTCTTGAGCCACCACAAAGGTGGCTTATACGATGTGGCCTGTTACAGCTGCTGAAGTGAGCCTGTCAAACTTAAATAGCGAGTCTTACAGGAACAGTACAAATGCACTTCATTAACACGCTCACTGCTGGGCTCCCAGGTAACATGCGCTTAAGTGCCTCTATTTCACTGGCATGTTGACACGGGAGTCAGCGATAGAGCTGCCAGCATGGCTGAGGTTCAACAATTTCTCTCCCTCTCATGCCAAACCTGTGGGAAGGCATAAGAATGGCAACTGTCTTTTTGTTCGAAGATACACATTCTAGCTTATTCCATCTCTACTTGTTATTTAATTGGAGCTGGGGCTTTTTAAAACCAATCTTGGAGATATTTTGCCAGTAGCCTTCCAGTAGGAGTCATGCTTTCAACATCATCTGAATAGTTATCTTGACTCTTGAATTTGTGTCTTCTTACCTGATAACATATTATCTGTTTTTATTGAAGGAAACTTCAAAGTCATTTCATGTTTGTGCCTGTGAATCATCAGATGATCCTCTGTTGGAAAACGCTGTCAGGCAAACACAGAGAGAGAGAGAGGAAGAGAGGGGGGGGAAAAAGAGAAGAATTTAATTCTCTAATAAACTTTTGGCATTGGACAGAATTTCAAAAAATGAGAGAGAGAAAGAAATGTATCCAGCTAGAAATGTGTCCAAATGGCACAGGAAACAGAATATTTGAAAACACAAGTGAGTATGAGTAACAAATAGCTGCACTCTACTTAGAAACGTATTTGCTGCTGCTGTGCTCTTTGGGGTTGCAAACCGCAAGGTGTCATGCATTTGCTTGAAGAAGTTGCAAACCAAGTTTTGGATTCTAAGGGTCTCAGACGCCCGCTCCAGCTATCACAGCCTCACAAGTCACCACGTGCCTGGGGATCTGCGATAACTGCTGTTGTGTATGCTCTTAGCCCACGGCAAACACAAAGTAATGCAGCATATCTTAAATCACTTTACTGGATTTTCTGCTTTTGTGTCTTTCTGCAACCTGTATCTGCTGAACAGCAATAAAAATAATCAAATAAGCCAGCCTTTCCCTACCCAAAAGTATTCAGGCAAAATGCATCTTTAATTTTGGAAACCTCTGATACTTCGACTTGATTCAAAGTGGCGATGCAATGGTGCTCAGTATAGAACAACTATTTATGACCCTTTACGATACTAAATTAAATTCTTTTCCTTTGTCAAGCAGAGAAGGTGGAGAGATGTGCTTTGTAAGAAACTAATCAGTGTGCTAAATTTGTTTTACAGTCTGATAACAGACTTCTACAACAAATAGCTTCTTTTGAACAAGACAAAGAAGAGACAAGCTTGAAGAGATGTTCAAGCACTTGCACACTTGGGCTCTAAGAGCAGACTGGTTCTGTTAAGTTTCCTTCACCAGAAGGTGCATACACAGACCTTTGCTACAAACTACCGTAATAGTTTTAACAGGGTTATTCCAGGACTAGCAAAGGCCAAAAGTTGTATCACCAGGGCTTGAGGGGAAAAAAAAAAATTAAAAGCAGCTTTTTAAAGCAACAGGTACATAGGATACTGTAAAAAACTGGCAACAACAGAGTTAAAGTGACTTAATGCTTTCAACACAGTATATTCTTGGCTAAGTGACTTTGCTTGTGGCTATAGTATAAATAGTTGCAGTATGTTACACCTTCTGAGAATCTCTCTAAGCCCATAGACAAATGGGAATGAATTCTCTGGAAAAGAAAAAAAAAATAAATCCCAAAGACCTTTTCCTCACTGTGAAATTCTGGTTCACTGCTTACTCATCTGGAAGAAATGCAGCACTAGAAATTTATGTTAAGAACAAAGGGAATATGTGAAAGACCTCGCTCAATGAAATTGTGAGGGGGAAAAAACACGTTTTGTTCTCATGGAAATGGATTTTCCTTCATGGATGCCACGCTCTGTCTTCAGGGTGAAATCAGCCAGCTTAAAGAAGGCACAGGGCAACTGAGGAGAACCTATTCCTCCAGCCCAGACTTCTCTGTCGTTTTTGTAAGTCTACTTTATTCCTTGTGCAGAAGGTCAACTCCCTCAGCCCTCAATACACATCTGCACTGGCTGATAGAGAAGCCAGTCCCCAGGCAGCTTAGCTGGATAGCAGCACTACACTACGCACTTCTATCAAGTCCTCATTTACAACAAACGGAGGTCATGTTTTGAAATGGGAAATATTTTTTTAAGATGAAGTCACACCTACATTGCTTGTCTTTCGAGATTGTAACAGCATACAACCAAACCTGCTCTATGAACACCTAAATGAGCTTGTTTGGATCAGCTTCTCCTCCACCGAGGAAACTAATTAATAGCTGACATGAAAACACTCAAGTCCACTGATTTGAGTGGAAGTTAGTTTTATGATTCGACAAAAAGGTAAATAAAACTTGACTACAAAATTCCGATACTTTTATTCTACCTCTGTGACAGAATGGTGAAAGTTTAACTCTGCATGTGGAGATCTGAAGGGACAAATCCTCCATCAGAGGGACAATCCAAAAAAGATGCGCTCTGACACCCGTAGAAAGACTCCCGCTTACTGAAACAGCAAAGCTGCTCGGCCAGTTGTTAATGGGATCTCAGGCTTCTCCCTTTCCTGATTTCAGCTCTTAGCAAAATCAACACCTACGCTCCAGTAGCAGTCACCCATCGTTCTACCAGAACAACCTAAAAGGGTGTAAAAATATTAGCCAACCGAAAACTCCCAACATACAGTTAAAGCAGGGAAATATTACCCTCATTAAGAGAGGAGGACTCTGGGAAATGGGTAAGCTAAATCACTTAAAACAGATGCATACAGGAAGCCTGTGGCAAAAGCCCAAAAGATGCCCTTGCCTGAAGATTTTACTCACAAACTCTTGTCACTAAACGGAATTAGGGTCAGAAGTGCCACACGTGGAACTTCACTCATTGCTGCATGGGGGGGAACTTCCCTCACCACTGCAAAATCATCGAAAAAACACACAAATCCCAATTCAAAATCTCAGCAGGTAAAATCCTTGTCACTTCAGGTTTTTCAAGATCATTAAACGTCTAATGTTACAGGTTCAGATTACACCCTCAGAGACACATGGCAGATCACCAGTCAACAGGAATCCCAAATGTACACCCTGGGGCAGAATTTATCTACAGACTGTATTTTCTATAGAGAATATTTAGTAGGAAGATGTCTCAAAGATTTTTTTTTAAAAAGCTAATAAGATATCATTGCATTTAAGAATTAAAAAAAAAAAAAAAATCAGGAGGGGTACCACATCCAATAGGATAAAAAGCTAATATATTCATACATCTAAGCAGAAGACAGACAAATGTGTCCTGCCTAGTGTGTCCTCTCTCTCTAGCCACTTATTCCATCATACATCTAAGCAGAAGACAGACAAATGTGTCCTGCCTAGTGTGTCCTCTCTTGCTAGCCACTAAAGGAATTTGCAATACCCGGCTTGAAACATTAGGCTTGGGGATGAGGGAAGGCACAGAAGCAGCTTGAGAAGCACTTTTACCAACTCACTTTTGACTGGCTGTTGTATTTGCTTTAAATACTTTGTAAAAAAAAAAACCCAACGCACATATTATTATTAGACATGTGTTAATATATCAGGAGGCATTATACAAGCCAGAGCTAGTGCTGAGGACTCAATTAATATCACCGCTGACTCCACTCACCTGTGAGCAGCCTGGGGCACTGCAGACAAAAGGCCTCTCCTGCTCCAAGTTCATCTTTGATTCCTCATAAATCTACATGTTAAAAGGGGGAGGGGGAAAGAAAGGGAACCTATGAATATATACATTCTAAACTTCACACATACATGCAACATACAATCGTCACAGTTTGTGCTTTTATTTCAAACTCCCAAAACAGACCAGAACAAGTTTTCAGAGTACTAAATTTGCTAATATTCAGCAGGCTCCCTACAGTCTAAGTTCTTATTACTCCTTCCTGAGCACATATTTACTTTGAAGGAAGAAAAAAAACCCATTAAGCTTTCACAGCAGAAATCTGCCTCAGAAAAAAGCATATGTTCAGTGTTGTTATTAGATAAGACCGTGTCTGCTCAGAAATATCTCGAATTAAGGGTTTTTACCTTTCTTTCTTCAGTTCCTGCTGAACAACATTAAAACCAGACGTCTAGGTTACTTCTGAGAAAGAACCCACTTTTTGAAGTTCTTCGTCCATACTGTTCGATATTAATAACTTAAATACATTACATACATGCTCTCCATACACACAAGATAATCGTGCATCCCCATCCTTTAAAAGGTCAACTAGATCCTCAGGAGCTTGAGAAGTGAAGTTTTGCCTAAAACTGCAGCTTCCCCATAGCAGTTCCAGTCCTGTAACCTTGAACTAAAGCCTGAGGGAGAGCTCCTGGGTCTCGAATAAAACTGAAGGAGGAAACATTCGCCCTCAGAATGCAGTAACACAGCTGAATTTGGGTTAATATTACGGCAGTGTCCCTGACCAGCATCAACAAAAACCATTTTTTAGTAACATTCTAGGACGTAACATAAGTAAGTCACTTCTTTCAGAAATGTTTTGAGCCTGTTGGTACAACTGGCATTACAAGCTAGAATACAGTAGCTGACCCACCTTAAAGCACAACATATGACTTCTGCTTACATTATGCCTCAAATCCCTTAAAATTCAGCCTCACCGCAGCCCCACTTAGACAAATACCCGAGTTGTGTTTGTGTAATTGTTTCATAAAACAAAGAGAAATATCTTAGTGGAGAAGCAGAATTTGATTTTAAAACTACAATAAAAGAAGGACAAGTGCTAAAATTACTCAACCCTGCTGTCATTTTCTAAAGCTACAATTCATTGCTTCCTCTTCTCAGGAATATCTTTACCACACTTACGCTTGTTGTTAGAAAAGCTTTATTTTCAGAAGAGTTGCTACCATCCCCTGCCAACAATAAATACACCGTTAACCTGAACATCAGCCAGACCTGTACTTACAGCAATTATTTTCAGTGTCCTAAGTTCTCAAAAAAAACCCAAAACTTTTGGATGATAACTTTTTCTTTTTAATTAAAATTCATTCTGGCATTAGCCCAACAGGATATTTTCCTACTTGTGACCTAAAAAAAAAAAAAAAAAAAAAACACACCACAAACCAACAGCAGAGCACCCTTTACCTGACTCTACTGACTCCCAGAAGCAGCATCCAGAAGTGAAGAATTTCTAATTTTATTTGCCCCTTAACCTCCACAAGGACACTACCCCCTAAAGGTGATAATTGGCATCAACTGATTTTCTTGTTGTGGGCATCTCTGCTAACATCTGGCCTGAGACAAGTGATTTATTGCACCAAATACAATCAGGTGTCAACAAAGACCCTAACCCAGGACTAACCTATCTATCTACACACGGCTAGAACTGAAATAACTAAAATTGTACCTAATTTACTCCTTTAAGATTATTCATATCCTGTTTTGATTTAACTTACAGCTATGTTAAATTGAAATAGGATACTCATAATCAGAAACGAAAGAGTATGTTCGCATAAAGGCTTATACTAAAATAACTAAAGGTGTTAAATTACTCCTAATTTCAGTTATTTCAGTTCCAGACTGTGCATAGACAAGCTCTTCAGAGGTGAAGCAATACAAGTGCTCTGAATTATGCTACCCTGTCTGAAAGAAACAAGCAGCAGAGAGATAACTGACAAAACAAACAAACCCCCGCAAAACCAAAACCAAAACCTCTAGCTAAGTTTGATTTTTAAATCCACCTCTATTTATGGGACGTGACCCGGGGATGTTGCCTTTCCTATACGTGTGGATAATGAAAGGCTTTATCTGATATCTCAATTACTCCTGCAACTGAAGCACTGCCAAAGGTTTCTCCCCCTTTCTCCCCTCCTTGGGGGAGAGTGACAACTGCATTTTCAATAGCAGAACAACAGATGAGACTCGGTTAAAGAAAACAAGAGAGTAACAATTCTGGTCCCAAGTGTCCAAGTGAATTTCAAAACATTACCAGGAATTATTTGGAGTTTGTTTTCTTATTGAGTATTGCAAGTCTAATACTGCCCTCCCCACCCTGAGCTTGAGCTTTAGTCCCTAAATCCATCAGTACATGCTCTGATACAATTAAATGATTCTCAAGGTTACTAGATAGATAAGCACAGACTAAGCACCAAAATAACATACTCGACAAGGACCAGAATCCTGAGCGTGGGGATCGACTGCAGGAAAACATGGACTTAGGTTTTATCCCCAGTACTTTGAAAAGGTGTCAGATTCAACGTCTAGTTGTTTACCGCACATGTACAAGCAACGGCTGGTTCCCATGAGAATCACTCTTTGCAGACACTAAACTTAAAAAAAAAAAAAAAAAAAAAAGAAATAATACAGAATGCTATATCATTTGTGCCCCCCAGGATACCATGAGAATCACTCTTTGCAGACACTAAACTTAAAAAAAAAAAAAAAAAGTAAATCCAGAATGCTATATCATGTGTGCCCTCCAGGATACGTCTAGCATAACTTGACCTATATAACACGTTACCAGATAGTACAATGCCCTCAAGACAAATTGCACCATGCAGAATTTGTATTTACATGTGATGCTATCACCGCGGTTGAGACTGTAGTACTATTGACTCTCTTACAATAGTAAATGAGTGAAAGAAGCTGCCTACTGCCTACAATTTTTGAGAGGGTGTCCGGCGCTTGGCTATCTTCCGGCAGTCATTAAAGATTTATGCTTGAATGTTGACAAGAAACAAGCAGCTGAAAATCTGGGCTGTGAGTGTGAACCTCCTGCATCCCCCTTTCCTGCTGAACTCCGCAAGAGCTGCGGATGCAGAAGCAGCGCAGGATCTCACCCCAGGTTTGCAGCAGGATGGGAGCTCTCAGCTACAGAGGTTTTTTGGTTGTGCACAGCACAAATTGCACGGCATCCTTTTCAAGATGCAGGCATGCATCCCCCATCCTTCAGTCGTACACAGCCTCTGGCACACAGGTCACTTCACACAGCTCGTGTGTTGCTGGGCCACACAACTCAAGTCTCCTTTTTCCACAGTGTGTGCAGGTGGTTCAGCATACATGTAGGAAATCACGCAACCAATGGCAACGTTTCGACTTCACCTAATAAAAATAAATCACAGCAACCTTTCCATCTAAATTAAGGTGCTTATTAACCTTTGGGATCTTAAAAATTCAAGTTACACTCATGCACCTTTCATAGTACTACATATGACTGCTGCAATTAACGTGCATGAAGAATATCAGGCAAATCTATGATGACTGAAAAGTTTAAAAATTGCTCAGGCCTGAATTTTTTACTTCTGTTATCAATAGCTTAATTTATTGCAACTTTGTGACCTCTTCGAAGAAACAAACAAGGATTATAAATATAAGCGAGCACTAATATTGATATGTCAGCATTAGTTCTGATATTATTAACAATAGGCATGAGTTCATTATGCAGCAGAAAAGGGGGCTGAATTTTAATAGCATGTTAACAACATCTGTCAGCATTTATTGCCCTATTGTGACCACGTAAAGAGCCTTATTGGCAGAATACGTAAGTGAGGAAATCTGCTACACTGTTGTAGCCTGCCGTTCTCCTGAAATATCACTCTGCTTAGAAGAAGTTAAGGTATTCTAATTAGAAAAATAAACAAACAAAAACATAGAAGAAACATAGAAAGACTTCTCCAAGCCGTGTCACATGGAAGAGAACCAAGTAAATTCTGCAGCAAGCCAAGATTTTCTTCTATTCCTTGATTTCTGCATAAGATACTTCTAAACATTTTTTATTATAATTAATAAAACTGAAGCCCACAGCGAAGAATGCAAGAACATAACAAAGAAATAAAAAGCAAACAAAAGAAACAAAACCACCCTCAGAACACAGCAACAAACTACATCCCCTCTCAGCAGCATCCAGAGGGAAGTACCCCACGTCCTCAGACTCCTCAAGGAGATTTTGCAGAGCCCCACGACCATCCTTTCTGAATCAGAAAAATAGTTCTAACAACTAACACCAAGAAAGCATGCTCCTTTCTGTCTCTCTCTCCCCCTTTTTAAACTCAGCAGTAATCTTATTGCCTTACTGGTAAAAACATCAAGCAGGCTTGTTTCCTGTTTCAATGTTATTCTTGAAGTGGGCTGCAGTAAGAATCTGATTTTCATTGGGCTATTATTATTTGCAGCTGCGCGACCTTTTTAACCCTCTTTTAAAAGTGACATTTCAGCCTTCAACCTTAAGCTGCCTAAATGTTGCAAGGTTTTCAGCCCTCTGATTAACAGCGAAAATGAACCGATGGGGAGGTGTATACTACAATGTGTCTAATACAGGTCAGTGCACCCATCCTGCCATTTGCACAAGTGAGTAATTACACTCTTATAAGCAACCTGTTTGTTGAAATTAATCACCTGGGCACATGCTTGCAAGACAGGTTTCTTCAGCCTGGTGTGACCAAGGTCACTGAGATTTCCAAATACAAGTACAAAATACACAATCGCTAGCGTTAGCAGTAGTATGCAGAGACATGAGCAATAAATGAAGCATCACCTATTTTTTAGGGTCATGGCCACAATGTATAAAAAGTGAGAGGAGACGTGGTTACGGTGCACTTGTGAATATTAAAGAACCCCATCAGTGTATGCAGCATTTTAAACTGCTGGTCGTGGCTATTCAGTACAGCACTATTTACAGATAATTAAAGTGTTATTACAAATGCTATTAAGATTTGTTGGTTTTGGAAGTGTAGTACATG